ATGTACAAATGCGCTTTACACAATTGATGTGTGTATGGATTGCGATAACAGTTGTAAGAGCCCCTAATAAAATGTTTAAAAAAGAGTTGTATGAGCCTCTAATAAAGCGATTTAAAAAAAATTATTGTATATTAAAAAGCAAAATTAAAAGCAAAAAAAATCAGTGAATGAATAATTTTAACCAAAAATTAACAAAAACCTAGATACAAACAAAAGTAAAATAAAATCTAAAATTTAGTACAGCAGTAAACCAAATAGCATAAAAAATAATTTCAGGTTTGTCGCAATTCCCCCACAGCTCTTTATAAGAAAATATGCTGTGGTACAACAGCCTACTATACCATTACATCTAGGTAGTGCTTCCATTGAGCTAAGTCTGAACAAACTTCCTTAGTTTACTATGTAAAAATTTTGATAGGCGACTTCATTTTCAGGCTTTAAAATACTATTCATCTTAGAGCAATTCAAGCACACTCTAGGTTAAAATATGCAGATATAAATAACAAAGACCATATGTTATATTCTCAGGCTTTTGACTATCCTTAAAGAAAATGATATTCAAAACAAAATGGAAAAAGTAATTTCCAAGTTTTTAGACATTAGAGCTAAACATACATATCTTTAAATTTACACATAAATACATGCTTTTATTTTAAGAGTACACTATGCTAATTGCCGTCTGCCTTATATCCCGAGAACAAAAATAAATGCTGATTCAATGAAGCATCCAGCATCCTGTACTTTAATACTGGCATATGTCTTAGTGGAGAAGAGGTTTTAAAACACACACACACACAATTACCCTAGCATAAGACAATAAATACCTATAACCTGCTGCCTTCAAGTTCACTGACTCAGAGCCATCATCAAAGACAGAGGAGAACTGCCGCACAGTACTTCTAAGGTTGTAACCCTTTATGGAGGCCGACAGCCTCATCTTTCCCCATGGAGCGGCTTGGCAGGTTTGAATTGCCAAACCATTTGTTGGGCATCTGAGTGCTTAACCACTGTGCCATCGGGGATTCTAGAAAAGCAATTATACTCACCGATATATATTCCAAGTGGCAACAGGCAAGTTGAGGAGAAAGATGAACCAGTGCAGTGAAACTAGCATTAATACAGTAACAACGGTATGGCCAATTACTTCTGGAATTACCCACTGCAAGGGAAGAACACAGTGTTATATCTCTTCTGCTGTGTCTTTTCTGACTATATATGTTATTTGAAGCTAAATCAACACACAGAGAACTTACCTGCCACTGTTTCAAGGTTATTTTTAGTCAGGTGCCCCAAATTTGCATACCGCTTACCTCATGCAAATACATCAAGGCACAGCTTAAAAATAAACACTTAATTTCAATTACATTTTATTCCAAGAAAGGTCTAGCATCACTAAGCAGATTTTGAATGACAACTAACATCAGCAGCAAAAGAGTCTATATTTACTCTCTATCGCATCAAAAAGCCTCTTACTCTAATCTGCGATAGTCAATACATGTATTTGCTGCTGCCTTTCGAGGCAGAACATCAATTTAAAAATTTTTTTAATCCATAAGAGGAAATTTTTATATAATTAGAAAAGAAAAAGGGGAAGGGGGGATGACTTTAAAAGTGTGTAGGAGCAGTTCAAAGTTGACCAAATAAGACAATGAACCAAGGTGCTAGGATCCTAGGATCCTTGTTCACTGTGTAATTATATATTCTCAGCTACTGTAACAAGGTTTGCCTAACAAGACTTTGCTTTTTTTAAAAGAATCTGCTTTTAAAAGATGCTAATACCCTGTTTCCCCCAAAATAAGACCTACTTACAGTTTTGCCTCTCGGTGAAATATAAGGCAACCCCCTGAAAATGAGACCTCCCCAAAAACAAGGGTTTGGATTGTTATGATGATGTTCCAGAAGATGATGACATGACTGTCATTGAATAAATGAGTAAATGTACCATAGATTGTTGTACATGGAAATAATGGTAGCAACAATTAATTCTTGATACTGTAGGATTCAGTTTGTCTGGTTATGCTGGTTTGTGATGACAACTACTACGGTACCGTAATACAGGTAATAAATTTCCTTTTTTTGTTGTTCAACAATAAATGTGTACCATATTCTTCATGGAAAAGTAAGACAGCCCCTGAAAATAAGACCTAGCGCATCTTTGGGAGCAAAAAGTAATATAAGACACTGTCTTGTTTTCAGGGAAACGGTATCACAAAGCAACAACATTTTTTTTCTTGGCGTCTTGGTTTTTAAGGCTGTCTGCAGGGTTATTTGGGGTGCTGATTCAGAAAATTGCATTGGATGGATCATATCTGCTCTAGTTTCTTAGATACGTTTTTCACTATATTTTCAGCTATTAAGTTATACTAATTTATTAATTCATCCTCCTATTTTAAATATGAGAAAAATTCAGACCCACAAATCATGGAATAAGACAATAAATTTGTAAAGAATTAGGTTTCCTGGAACGTCCATGGAAGCTGTATATGGGTCCCATGGTAGATAATTGCTTACGCATTGAGCTGTTGATCATAAGGTCAGTGGTTTGAATCCACCAGTCACTCTGCAGCCTTTGGAACACAGAGATTTGGAAACCCAAAGGGGTAGTTCTTCTCTGCCTACAGGGTCACTATGAGTTGCCATTGATTAGGTTGCTGTGGGTTTTCTTTTTGGCATGGAAGTCTATACAATATATAGAGACTACAAGTTGATGCTGTAAAGCCAGAATATAGCCCAAGAAGAATAGAAAACAGTAAAAATTGAAAAGGCACACATACAAAAGGTGTGAAGGCAATTCAGAGTGTCAAAGACATAGACTTCATAGCAATTTTCATAACTATTTTGAAGATCTAAATTCATCTTCAAATTATGCAGTAAACATTTTAGAATACATTTTAATATATAGAAATATATAGAAATTAACGGATAGCTCATGCTAAATGATCCAGATGTGAGGTTGACAACAACATTTTTATAAGAAAAAACTAACTTTTCTTTTAAAAGTTGCGCACACGTGGAGAAGTTCTTCCATTTTATAACAAGATTGGAACATTTAAACTCTGACAGACCCATTTTAGGTTTGTGAACATTTGAATCTCTAGTTATTGTCCCAAACTTACTACTCGCCAATTGTGACTCACCAGGACCCTAGAAGACAGACCGGAACTTCGCCTGTGGGTGTCTGAAGTCGTAAATCTTTCTGGGAGCAGAAAGCCTCATTTTTTTTTTTTTTTTAGCAAGAGCAGTTGGTGGGCTCAAATAGCTGACCTGTGGTTAGCAGTCAAACACATAATCCACTCTGCGATCAGGGATCCTTACTTATTGTATAGTAACTCTATTTCTGGCTTTTTGTTTCAGACAACTGCAATAAAGTATAAAGTGCCATAAACCAAGTCTAACAAGCCTGGAAAGGAATCCTTGCTCTTTATTCACCATGCAATCCTGGGAAGACTTCATTATCTTCTCTAAGCCACACTTTTTTACAATGTGTGGAGATCATCATACCTAACTCACAAAGCTGTTTCACAGATTCAGATGAAATAATGCATGTATGTCACATGCCGTATAAAAACTCACTGCCACAGAGTCGATTCTGACTCACAGTGACCCTATAAGGCCAGGGTAGAACTGCCCCTGTGAGTTTCTGAGACTGACTCTACAAGAGAGAAAGCCTCATCTTCCTCCCAAGGAGCAGCTGGTGGTTTCGAATTGCTGACCTTGTGGTTAGCAGCCCAACACATAACCATTATGCCACCAGGGCTCCTATGTGCTGTCCTTATACTGAAAGAAATAATGGAATAGGTCTGTTTATTAAGCAGCCACTACACCAGCAGGGCTCCATGCATGTCAGCCAAGGTTACTTACTGCTAACTCTGCCAAGGGAGCCCCAGTGGAGTCGTGAGTTATGTGTTTGGCAGCTAACTTAAAGATTGGCAGTTCAAACCCATCAACCACTCCTTGGGAGAAAGCTGAGGCAGTACGATTCAGTAAAGATTTCCAGCCTCAGAAACTCTACAGAGCAGTTCTACCCTGCCCTTCAGGGTGGCTATGAACGAGAATTGACGCCAAGGCAGTCGATGGTGGCATGGTGGGATCACTCTGCATGCTATCTGATTCCTAGTTTCCAAACTTTTCATTTCTTACTGTTTTACACAGAACCCCACCTGAAACTAAGTTCTAGGAAGCCAGATGTGACCTTACTGGATATGGATTACTAACTTTTAGCCAAATCCTGTTTTCAATCTCTTTTCTGCTTCCCATGGACCCTTCTACTAACTTATTCCCAGAACATAAGCACTCGATTTACATCTATCTCCTCCATGGAAGCCTAGGAGATTCTTTTCTGGAGCAACTAAAAGGTGCAAGGGACAACACCTACCAATAACCCCTGCCATGTCAGGTAACCCAATGAAAGTCTAGATAGATATCAGTTACTCTCCTGGGAGTCAACAGGCCTGGGCCACCCATGCAGAGCTTCCAAAAAGCATCTTAGTGCTTTAACCTGAAGTACGCTAGACAATCACTGATTGGCCATTTGAGGAAAACCTCCATCCAACATGAAAGAAACGGGGGGAAAAAACAAAAGAAAGGAACTTGGAAGAAATAGAAATAATGTAGGAAGCAAAAGAACAATTTACGAATAATATTGTCATTTTTCTCTGAGTGCTAAGAGAATTAGGCATGAACCAAGAGAACAAAGCTGTGGGAAATGTAATCTACAGCACAGATGAGAAGTCAGAAGATAAAGTTAAAAGAAATCTTAAGTAATCAAGGTGGAAGGGGAAAAAAACCAAAGCAGTGAAAATGAGATTAAAAAATTGGCAAAACAATCCAGCAGATCAATTACTCAGTGACTGAGTGTAACAAAAAGAGAGGAATGAAAAGAGAATTCTTTTCTGAAAAGAATACAAGACCATTTCTCAAACATATAGAGCCTATCAGATGTCCTTTTCTGGACATTTATCACTGTTTTGTTAAAAAAAAGGCCTTCCTAAATAATGGCCCACAAAGGTACCACTGTGTAAAATTCTAAGGGCAAAGAAGTAATTCAGAATCTTGCATAGAGCGGACAGGACCAAAATATAAATAAAATCACATAAGAAAAAGAAATCAGGGCTAGGGCATGGCACCCCATCAGCAGAAATCACTCCTACAGGTCAACAAACAGACCTGGAATTATTTATAGGCTTTTCTTTTTTTGTCATTGATTTTGTTGTTGTCCTGTTTTGTTTTGCTTTGCCTTGTTTTTGTGCCTATTATTATCTTTGCAAGTCTATCTAGATAAGACAGGCGGGATAAACAATTCTGAGGAGAAAACAAAGGGACCAATGGTTGGTGGGTGAGAGGGGTTGGCTAGGGAAAGGAAGGCAGTGTAAACCAACTCAGGGACAAGGGAACAACACGTGATCTAAAATCGATGAGGAGGAGGACATAGGACGCTTGGTGGGGCTTGATCAAGGGCAGCGTAGCCAACAGGAATTACTGAAACCTGACTGAAAGCCAAAAATGATAGAGGGACAAGAGGAAAGTAGAAGGAAATAAGAGGAAAGAATGAGGAGGCAAAGGCATTTATAGAGGTCTAAATACAGGCATGTACATATGTAAATATGTTTATACATGATGACGGGGAAATAGATCTATGTGAATATATTTATAGGTTTAGTATTAAGGTAACAGATGGGCATTGGGCCTCCACTCAATTACTCCCTCACCTTCCCAACACGATCATGAAAGACAAAATGGGTGCATAAGCAAATGAAGTGAAGAAAGCTGATGGTGCCTGGCTATCCAAAGATATAGCTTCTGGGGTCTTAAAGGCTTGAAGATAACCAAGTGACCATCTAGCTGAGAAGCAACAAAGCCCACATGGAAGAAGCACAGCAACCTTTGTGATCATGAGGTGTCAATGGGATCCAATATCAGGCATCAAAGACCCAGAACAAAAAATCTTATCAATGTGAATGAGGGGGAGCGCAGAGGGGAGACCCAAAGCCCATCTGTAGATAATTGGACATCCTCTAACAGAGGGGTCACAAGAAAGAGAAGAGCCAGTCAGGGTGCAGTAAAGCACCGATGAAACATACAACTTTCCTCTCATTCTTTAATGCTTCCTCCCCTTACTATCATGACCCCAATTCTACCTTACAAGTCCAGCTAGACCAGAGCATGTACACTGGTACAGAAAGAGCTAGAAGCACAGGGAATCCAGGACAGATAATGAGAGTAGTGATACTAGAGGGGAAGGGGAAGGTGGTGGGAGAAAGGGGGAACAGATCACAATGATCTATGTATATAACCCCTGCCCAACGGTACAGACAACAGAAAAGTGGGTGAAAGGACACAGTGGTTGGTATATGACATGAAAAAAAAACGTTATAAATTATCAAGGGTTCAGGAGGGTGGGGGTGGGTAGTGGGGGTGGGGGAGGATAAACTGATACCAAGGTCTCAAGTAGAAAATGTTTTGAAAATGATGGCAACATATATACAAATGTGCTTGACACAATGGATGGATGGATGGATGGATTGTAATAAAAGCTATAAAAGCCCCCAATAAACTCATTAAAAAATAAGCAGAAATCAAAATGGCATCTGACTTTCTAACTTGAACACTGAAAGTCAGAAAACAACTAAAACAGTCTTCTAAAATCTGAGGGAAAAGTGTTTTCCAACCTAGAATTTTGTACTCAGACCAACTACTAACCAGGGGTAAGACATTTGATGACACACAAGACCTCAAAAACTTAATCCCCAAGTACTCTACCTCAAGAAGTTACTCCAGCAAAGTGAATGAATATGCCCCAAACAAAAGGAGAATAAGAGACCTGAGAATCAGGAGCTCCCAAACCCAGGCGGAAAGCCCAGAGCGCAGACAAGACCTCTTTAATGGCGGGCAGTCTCTTGAAATGTCACTCGGGAAAACACTTAACTGATCACTTTAAGATGTTTGACAATGCTCAAAATAATACTCACTGGTTTTACAGATGTTATTGAAAATCCTTAGTAACAGGTAAATAGAAAAATGAAGGGAAAAAATTCTGCAAAATTATTAACGTTGAGAAAGACAAAGCTATCCAAAATATAAAAATAAAAGAGAGAATATCACTGTTTACTACAAAGCTCTGCCATAACACATTTATATTATCAGAATATGGCATCACAGGGAAAGAAACACTGAAGGTAAATTTAACCCCAAAAATAAAATGAAAAGATAGAAGATATTTAAGGGAGGAGTACCAAAATTTAATCTAAATTTTAAAGGACAATCTAATTTTTTTTTTATAATCCAAAATTTAAAAGGTAGGGAAGATACTGTTTTCATAATTTTGTAAAAATTAAAATTAACACTAAAAGCCATTTAACTTCCAAGTCAAGGAATAACTTTCTTAATGAAAGAATCTCAGTAACCATTTCTTTTATTTAATTTCTTATCAAGGATAACCCAAAATGTAGCTGAAATACTGAATATGCAAGAAATACAAAGCAATATAGAGAAACCACCTGATTTTTAAAAAATTTAAAAATCTATCATCCTTTTAAACTTAACTGCCATTGAGTTCACAATCTCACCGTGACCCTGTAGGACAGAGTAGAACTGCCCCTATGGGTTTCCAAGACTAACTCTTTATTGGAATAGAAAGTCCAATCTTTCTTTCACAAAGGGGCTGGTAGCTTTGAACTACTGACCCTGCAGCTAGCAGCACAATGAGTAACCACTAAGTCACCAGAGGTCCTTATCATCCTTCTAAAGAGAAGTATCTTTTTCCAGAAGCTCTTTCTCTTTCCAAAGACAAGTTAACTTTCCAAGTTTTCATTTCTCTCACGGGTCAGAGAAACTGAAGTAGACTGAAAGAAGATAGGCAAAGGGAGACACGGCATCATTTTTAGGTCAGGTCAAAGTCACCTCACAGTACTGTATGTATGAACTTTCATCTAAAAATGTTTCTATTTGTTCACCTCAGAAAGTGAAACAGGGCCAACTGGTTTTCATATATCTATATCTATACAATCTTGCTAAATATAAAGTCCGGACTACACTAAGGATAAAAATGCCTTCAAACAAATCAGTCAATTAATTCCAGTCTGCAGCAAGCCACACAGAGGTCTTCTTCTTTCATTCAACAAAAGGCACACAGACTGAGCCTTTTTGCCATGAGCAGGAGGAGGGGTCTGGACACAGAAAACAAAGAAATACCCTCATAATGAACCTGTGCCTAGCCTGAGTAATGATGTCAAGGGGACCAGGAAGAGGTAAAGAAACAAAATGTCCAAGTCATAAGTCCTAGTATGAAAAAAACTCCTGGTAGCTCAGGGTCTCCTCCTGCCCCTGCAGGTACTGGGCATAGGGTTCAAGACCTCCAGTCTGTGTGCAGGCCCCTACACCCAGTACCCACACCTTGTGGACATCCTGGGGGTTGACTTCTCTCCTGTGACTGTCTCCTAGAGGATGGTCATGGCTAAACCACTCTGTGCCCTGCACACCCGGCCTCCAGGCTTCAGGCAGGCCGATGCAGGACCAGTGGCTGGTTCTCGCTCCCTCCCCCGCTAGTCCTAGACAAAGGCACCTGGAATGCTTCGCCCAGGATGGTCTCCCTGGGACCTTCAGGCTGTACCAGTGCTGGAAGGACCAAAGTCCTCAGGGGACACTTATTTGGTTCTAAGATGAGGACCTTGATGTGCGCCTACCCTGGGACAAGGGTCCCAAAGCTGTACTATATGACTGTCCAGGAGCTAGGCCCTTTCAGGGGGCTCATTAACTTTATTTGGTTCAATGCTCTCATTAAAGACCTGTTAGTCAAAGAAAGAAAGGAGGGAGGGAGGTAAGAAGGGAGAGGGAAAGGGCGAAGGAGGGAGAGAAAAACAAGAATTCCTAGTATGCCTTCACTGCAAAGCACAGCAGCTCTGTCAACTCTCCCGTGAACAAGAGGGAGCACACGCCCTGAAATCAAGTGTACATTCATATGCTGAGCAGCTATCATCATCTTCAGTACAGAACATGGCGTGCCGATTTCAGTACCAGAAAATGAGCAACGAAATCTTACCTTGTTTAATTTCGAGCAACATGATCTAGCATTAATGTAATCACATTCTAAATCAGACAAAGTAATTATCTGAGGCTCAAGATAAGGAATTTGTAGTTTTACAACTAAGCAAATTTCTTTAAGTTTCACTAAGCAATTGGGGAAAATCCCTTATTTACTCAGAGTTGGTTCAATTTTCTTATTTATGTTCTTCTTGACAAAATTATTTTCACAGAACAATCCTTTTATTATTCTCACTTCAATCTGGCCCATAGAAATCTGATGCAGACAAGGAAACTCAGACTCAGTCTGAGTTCCTCAAATGCTTACCAATGGCTCTAAGAAACAGAAAATAACACCAATAAAACTTAGTTAAAAAAAAACACTAAGTTAAATAGTAAAAACCTGAACTTCCAATACTAGAAAAAGTATTTGTTCATGACACAAGCATAAAAAGTCTTCAACGCCTTAGAATGTGTTTAATGAAAACAAGACACAAAACTGAGCCTAGCCACATTGGTAGCAGCTAGGCCAAAAATCAGATTATGTATGAATACTTTTTTATATTTGTGAAACTCCACAGTAGCCACATTAAACTGGAATTAGATCTAAACTACTTTTAGTTTAAACTGTAAACCCACAAAGAACAATTTAAGGAGGTGGCCATAAAAGGAGAAGTAGATGTAGTTAATGAAATGATTAAGTTTGGGATCTGCTTTAAGATATCCCCTGCTCCCATCACCTACGGTAGTTGAGGGAGAGAAAAAAAAAAAAAAAAACAGTTGCAAAATGTTGGAAATGACTGAGATGGAAATATACGGTTCTCTACTTTTATGCTTGAAACTGTCCACTAAAAAAAAGTAAAAAGTACTCTCAACTAAATATTAAACACTGCCATATTACTAGCTCCTTGTCAATCCTCAATACACCTAAAATAAGCTTCATAATTTCCCCACAAAATTGCTTCTCCTCCAATTTGTCTCCTTTTTGCCAACAACTTTATCGGCTCCAAATGTGGAAAGCCCTCTCTGCTTTCTATGTCACAGCACACATCAATCATCACAAGACCCTATCAATAATTTCTTCTTAACATCACTCACTTTTATCCCTTTGCTTCCACTTGCCCACAGTTACTCAGGTGAACCTCTTACCTTCCAGCCTTTCCTGTTTCCAACTCACACTGCGGATTCACCTTCCAGTAACACACTCAGTCACTGCCACGGAATTGATTCTAACTCAGCAACATTATAGGAAGAAGTACAACTGCCCCCTTAGGGTTCTAAGACTTGAAATCTTTACCGGAACAGACAGCGGCATCTTTTTCTTGAGGAACGGCTGGCTGGTTTGGACCACCGATCTTGTGGATGGCAGCTTAATGTGTAGCCCACCATGCCACCAGGATGCCATAAGGACCAGTGAAAAAGAGTAAGGTCCTCCAGGGATTGACAGTGGCTGCAACAATGGGCTCAAAGCCAGGGCTATGAAGGCAGTGCAGGCCCAGGCAGTTTGGTTCAGTTGTACATAGAGTTGTTATGAATAGGAACAGACTCAAAGGCAACTAACAACAATAATACAACTCTTTGTTTATGCCAACAAGTTTCAGTGGCACCTCACTGCCTAAAGGATAACATTCAAGTTGACTACACACTGGTTTAATTTCACCTTTCCTTCTGCCTTTCCAATCTGACCTTCTAATGTCACTAAAATCAACTCTGTGCTCCAGATGGTCTATTCATTAACTTGTCACTCATAAATGCCCTGAACATGCCTGTCTCTAAACCTTTGCTCTTGATGTACACCTCTATAAATTTTGCTCATGGTTCAAAGTCCAAAATTCCTACACCTTACAGAAAATCTACCCCTCTTTTCCACCTCTGATTGCTAAAACTAAGTGAGTGCAACAGTCCTAAAATACAGTAATAAAGTATGATGGCTTTCATCAAAATGCATTGAATGTATACCATGCCTGCCAACATTACACTCCACAGAATCAACCCATTCCATCAGACATAAGCGGTATCCATCAAGACTACTGTAAAGTGTCAGGCCTAGTTTTTCCAAGAAGAGAGCGGGAGAAATCCAGAGTTTAAGATCCAATTTCTTAGGGCACAAAAGGTACAGATACGCAGCATCCAAACTTAGGCAAGACGTGTTGTCCTTCCAGTCTGTTCCTCAAACCTAGAAAAACTCAGGGATCTTCTCATTTTAAAAAATCCATTGAAGTAAAAGCTGCAGCTGCAATCTTTATTATTCACCAGCCATCGGAGCGCAAGGAGCCCTAGGGCACAATGGTGGCTCTAACCAGTTGCTCCACTGGGACAAAGATGTGGCAATTCCCTTCCCTAAAGATTTACAGCCTGCAAAACTGTGGGGCCCGAGTTCGATTCGACTTGATGGCAACAGGTTTGGTTTGGTTTGGTTAGACATCAACCTAACACATGCTCTCATGGTAAACATACCTACGTGGGAAGAAAACACTTCCAGTTTAACGATAAGGAAGGCTAAAGAGGTGGAGTAAAACTCGTTGCCAACGACTAACTGAGCAGGTCGGATTCAAACTGTTGTCTTTTTTCACTATAATAAAGTCCCTCAAAAGTAAGAAAGCAAGTGGAGGGACAATTATCTTAATAACTCACCTAAAACCAGCATTCTCTACCAAATAAAAGAGATTAATTCAGCTAAAAAGGAGCACGTGTCATTTTGAAATTTTGGAAACGAAAACACGTGCATGGGCTACTAAATTTGCAGGATCGGCAATTGTCTGAGGCAATTAGCGGACAACCATTAGCAGAGGGCTTTAAAATAATTAATCCTTCCTAACATTCACTACCAAACGATCCCGTGAAAGAAGCAACCCATCCCTTTTGGGAAAAAAGTCCATTCCTGAGTTTGAAAGGTCCCAGGCACGAACCCAGATCCGAGAGAACAAAGGCGGCAGGGGTGTCGCCCAGAGAATGACCCCCTCTCTGGTCCCAGACACAGACAGTCAGTCGACGAGGAACTGCCTATGGGCGTGGGTAGGTTCTCGAGACCCCCCTCCCCCACAAGAATCCGAAGACGGCCCCGCGGGTGGGGGGCTCCCGACGGAGAACACTGCCCCTTCTGTCCAGGGCGCCCAAAGCGGGACGCGATGCCGGCCTTCGACCGGGATAGAGCTGCGCCGGGGCGTCGTGGGGCCTATCAAACGCCAGAGCCGCTAGGACCCCCAGGTGAGGGGCGGCCGCAGCCCAGGCAGGGCGGGGCAAGCCGGCCCCAGTTGTACAACCTGGGCACTCCCCGCGCCGGGGCTCGCCCCACCCGGGCCCACCCTCAGCCTGGCCCCCTCGGCGGAGGGCCCAGGGCCGGCCTACGCTCGCTGCTGCCCGCCTCAAACAAGGATACGAAGTAGACGGAGAGGAAGATGAGCGCGCAACAATCGAGAAGAGAAAAGACGAACACCACAGCCTCCATCCTCTTCCGCCGCCCTCGGCGCCGCCACCACCGCTCCTACAGTCAAACCGGCGGCGGCGCCCCTGCTCGCCCCGCCCCTGATAGGCCCTTGTCCAGGCCGGCTGGGGCGTGTAGTCCATCCCGTCTGGAGTGCGGCATGCTGGGAGTTGTAGGCGAACTTTTTACACGCTGTTTATCGTCCCGGTGCATGCTGGGGATTGTAGTTGATTAGTACAATCTAGCTCGAAAATGTAATTTACATTTCCAGAAATTGTGAACATTGATTAGTGGGTATTTGCCTAAGTGCCTTTAATCTGTTGGGTACCCAGTAGAATTCATTTCTCAGGTGTGAAGTTATTACTAATATCTGCTCTTCCCTTTGCACTCGACCCAATTGGAAGTGAAAAGAGGTTCTCAGCTCAAAGCACAAATCTAACTTCAACACACCTGACTTAACACTTGAAATTTATGCTCCTTGGTCTCAATTTCTCCAGCGTTCGCACAGTTCTTTATTTATACTGTCTTAACAGAAGTGTCTCTCCTCCGCTCTGGATGTTAAGATCAATGAAAACTGATTTATTTGTCTGACTTCTTCATTAAACATTTCACTAACATCTTAGCATATATGCTAAGAACTTCTATAGACTCTAGGGATACAGTACAGAACAGGGCAAACAAGATCCTTGCTCTCCAAGGGTGGGTAGGAGGAACAGGTTGAAAAAAACAAAACAAACAAAAACACGAGAAGATCATTTCAAAGGTTAAAAACAGCTATGAGGAAATTATATCAAAGTAATTTATTCAACCATTTTTTTCTGCAGCTAGTATACCTACTCACTTATATCTTGTTACCAGACATTTAGCATTTATGACAGTAATTTTTAAAATCTACCTTATTTTGCACATTAATTATAGACTTCTGGCAGAAGCAAATGCTAAGGTGAAAAGCAAAGATCAGCACTGGTTGTGATAGCTAAATCAGCTTGGTCAACTTGAATAGTGATTCCCAGTTGCTTGGCAATTATGTAATGATGTGACTTGGCAGTTATATAACAATGTAGTCATCTTCCATTTTGTGATCTGGTGTAGCCATCCTCCATTTTGCATAATGCTGGTTTTCACATAATAATCTGGTCTTACAAAAATAAAGAAAAGAAAAGAAAAAGGAAACAAAGAATAATCTGGTCTTTGGAACTTAACAATGTCAGTAAGTCAGGAGTGGGTGCAGATGCCAGGTATATTTCTAGGAATACGGAGTGAAGATGAGAGAAGAAGCTGCTGTGTTTCTGTAGCTAACATTTGTGTGAAGCTGCTTTAAAACTGGTCATGACTGGAAATGAGTGACCTAGGTCTGAATCAAAGCTCCACTTTCTGAATTAGACTTTACTTTGTCCGAGGTCCTTATTTCTGTCTTCCTAAGAATAAACCAAAATCCGTTCATAGTAATCATATAAATAGGGTTTCTAATATTGTACAGCTGTACAGGAGGAGACAGCCACTTTCTCCCAAACAGCAGCTAACCTTGAACCAAGAACCACCAACCTTGTGGTGAGCACCCCAATGCCTAGCCATGACACATTGGATTTAGAGCTTGAATGACATGTAACTTTTTGTAGAATGTTGACTACCCTCAGAAAACAATGGAGAGTTTGTGAACATTTTTTCTAAGGAAAATGTTTGTTGAGCCAGTCATGGGAAAATGTTTATGCAGCAACCCAAGAAAGAATGTAAATGTGGTATTTCAGAAATTGCTTGTTAGGTTGGTGCCAAGAAGTCTGTCAGAAAATAAATCAGCTAATCTTGTAGAATTTTAACTTGCTATAGTCTTATGGCTGTTTGGAATACCAATCCTCCATATGGAATCCATTTTTCCTTGGAATATTGGAACACTTGGTCCTTTGGTATTGTATCCTTTGTTCCCCAGTCTGGAGTATATTTTCACTCTCAATAAAATTCTTTTCTTTTGCTTCTGCAGAGGATTCCCCCTCCCCCTCAATAACATTCTTTTGGGGCACATTATGGTGAAGAACAAGGACAGCAGGTAAGCAAAACTATAATGCTATGCAGTTATAATTACCTTGAAGAGTATGGAAAATATTTTGTAGATTGAATGATCAGAGAAGCCATGTTGAGAAAATGACATTTAAGTTTTGCATGAAGATTTGCAGGCAAAGCATCCCACATAATGGGAACAGTGATTGCAAAGGCCTTTCTTGCCTGTACATGTTTGGTGTTGTAGTAGCTACATAATCTGTTGTCAACTTGAGACTATTAAGAGTGAAGGGGTGGAGTTTAGCCTGTCAATATGGTCACAGCCTGATGACCTCATTTGGAGGCATTGAGATAAATAGCTTGCTGGAGGCAGGCCACACAAACTCTGCTTGGTATTCCTAAAGACAAGACACATGGAGCTATGCTACAGCCCTGGAGCTGGAGGAGCCACGTGGAGACCCATAGCAATGGTGAGATCCTTATACCACCACTGGATCCACAAGACTTTCCACCCACTGTCCTGTGATCTTCCTGCTTTCAGCGTCATTGCATGTGTTGTATGAGTCTGAAGAGGACTTTATAGATTGGTATTGGACATATGGGCTAATATCAAACTTATGAACTTGATCTGGACTGGACTGGGATATTTTCTTAATGTGCAATTACTCTTTATATAAAGCTCTTTCCTATACACATATTAGTATCAATGAATTTGTTTCTCTAGTCTACCCACACTAACACAGATATGTTTCAGAAAACATAAAGGGCCAATGTAACTAAAGCACAAGGTAACTAGAGGCTGAGAAAGTTTTAAGAGAATGTCAGAGTTGGGCAGGACAAGGGAACCAAAACAATTACTGTCCCCGTGAAAGGACTTTAACTTTTATTCTACTATGGTGAGAAACCATGGGAGAATTTAAAGCACTGACATGCCTTGGTTTGATATACATTTTAAAGCTATCTTTCTGTTTTTTGCTTAATTGAATGTAGGACAAGAGGACACATCAACAGGGAGATCACTTAAGAGAGAGTGTAGAGGTTGGCTATGGGAGTTAATAGAAAGGCTAGGTTTGTGTGAGACAGCATTGGTTCATGGATTCATATAGGGTGAGAGGAATATACAATCACCGTGCCAAAAAGAATTGGATGATGTTCAACCATTTCAAGAGGTAGCACATGATGAAGAGCCAACACTATTGAAGGAAGAAGTTCAAGGTGCTCTAACGGAATTATCAAAAAAACAAGCTTCCGAAACATTTCCTCATGAAGTGTTTCAACAAGCTGGGAAAACACTGGAAGAAGCACTTACTTGTCTATGTCCAAAAAATTTTGTAAATCAGCTACCTGGCCAATTGACTTGAGGAGATCATTATTTGTCACCATTTCAAAGAAAGGCGGCATGACAGAATGCAGAAATTGTGGAGTAATTCCATTAATATCACAAGCAAATCAAATGTTGGAGATAATTGAAAAATGGCTGCCACAGTCCATCAACAAAGAGGATAAGAAAGACATTTACCTGTGTTTTAGTGACTATGCAAAGGCATTCAGCTGTGTGGATCATAACAAACTATGAATACCATTGCAGAGAATGAGAAATCTAGAACACTTAATTGTGCTCATGGGGAACCAGTACATAGATCAGGAGGCTGTCATTGGAACAGAACAAGACAATGCAGATGGATTTAAAATCAGGAAAGGTGTGTGTTAGGGTTGTATCCTCTTACCATACTTATTCAATCTGTATGCTGAGCAATAATCTTAGAAGCTGGATTGGATAAAGTCTTATTAACAAGCTGTAAAATGCAGATGACACAACCTTGCTTGCTGAAAGTTGGGAGGACATGAAGCCCTTGCTGATGAGAACCAAAGACTGCAACCTTCAGTATGGATTGCAGTTTGCAGTGGTTACATAATCTCAGTTTGAAGGTATTAAGAGTCAAGGTTGGAAAGGGGGAACTGAGAACAAAGATCTACATGTGACCTCCTCCCTGGGGGACGGACAACAGAAAAGTGGGTGAAGGGAGACGTCAGACTGGACAAGGTATGACAAAATAATAATTTATAAATTATCAAGGGTTCATGAAGGAAGGGGGAGTGGGGAGGGAGGGGGAAAAACGAGGAGCTGATGCCAGGGGCTTAAGTGGAGAGCAAATGTTTTGAGAATGATGAGGGCAATGAATGTACAGATGTGCTTTACACAATTGATGTATATATGGATTATGATGAGTTGTATAAGCCCATAATAAAACAATTTAAGAAAAAGAGTGAAGGGGTGGAGTTTAGCCTATCAGTTAGGGCACAGCTTGACTGGAGGGTGACTGAGATAAATGGCTTTCTGAGGCTGTCCTCCTCTCTCCCTGGAGGAGGGCCACACTCTCTCTCTGCTTCACATTCCTGTTGATAAGCCACGTGGAGCCATCCTGAGACCTGTGAGAGCCCTGGAGATGCTTCCACCACTGGATCCATAAGACTTTGTACCTACTGGCCTGTGATCTTCCTGCATTTTGGCTCATTGCATGTGCTATGTGAATCTGAAGAGGAAATTACGGACTTTTGGGCTAAGATCGGACTTTTGGGACTTGATCTGGACTGGGCTGGGATGTTTTCTTAATATATACTTACTCTTTGATATAAAGCTCTTTCTTTTTTTCTTATTTTATAAAGCTCTTTCTTAAACATATATGAGTGACAATGAATTTGTTTCCCTAGTCAATCTGGCCTAACTCACAACTCAATGTAAGGAAAATCAAAATCCTCACAACTGAACCAGGACCCAACATTATGATAACCAGAGAAAAGATTGAAGTTGTCAAGGATTTTACTTTACTTGAACCCACAATCAATGCTCCTGGAAACAGCAATCAAGAGATCAAATGACATATTGCATTGGGAAATTCTGCAATACTCTTAGAAAGATCTCCCCTGATTACTCTACCTGAAGTAGATCCCCTTTGTTATTCTCATCTAGTACCTTGATTATTTACTTCACAATTTCCATTCATTTACTTAAAAATTCTTCACGGAGAACCTGTTAGGGGAAAGGCATTGCTCCAAGGACTTAGGAAT